ATTAGCCTCTTCTGTAAAATTGGTCCATAAATTGTTAAAATGCCTTTGACATTTGCTCCACTTGCGCATGTTAACTTAATTTTTATAAAGAAATCGCAAATTTCACATTCAGCGGGAGTTGTCACAAATGGCGGTTTAATATTGGCAAATGTTCGATATGCTACAATAAAATCGATAACAATAAAAAGTGTTACCACCAGGGTTGCCACTGATGAGAAAAAACTTACCATCCACTTGAAAAAAATCTACCAATTCTGGAAAATATCTACCAATAACTTTTTTAATTAATTTTATAAAAACTATAGTTATGTTCTATTTTGTTTAGTTATTTCAATAAATATTAAAATTATTTAAGGAACTTTCTGTTAACTAATAATATGGTATTAGAGATCATATTAAGTGCATATATGGGGCCAGAAAGTGGAATAATGTAGTTTTATTCGCACTAAAAACATAGATCAGACTAGCCTGGTAACATAATATTTAATAAATTACGAACTGATCGGACAATAAAACATATAAAAATCCTTTTGCTTTTTTTTTGTAAAAGAATATTGTTTGAAGCTATTTACAACATTTAGAAAAATTCTAAAAAAAAAACTTCGTCAAAATATTGAACCTTTTACTACAAATTTTTAGAACAATTTTGGGTATGCAGTTTTATAACCCATGGAATTTTCGTATAACCAACAATATGCAGCCAAAAATTCCCATTTGATTTTAAAAAAATTTGCCGCTGCTCTTTTGTGTTTTTTTTTTTCATTTAACAATTGCCATTTAAGTTGATGCCAGATAAAACTTTGTGGCTTTGCGTGACATTTATAACTTTACCAGCAAAGCGCCAGACGTAAAATGTATGCCACAATGAACGCTAAGAAAACAATTTTGTACTGCTTTTTCACTCGTCAAAATTGCTGTGGATTTTATATATTTAGATTTAAAAATATCAGCAATGTAATTAAATATGTTTCTGCATCCAAACTTCAATTCGGACGAAACCAATTAAATATTAAATCAGCAGATTGTCAACGCGCGCAAAAAGATGGGAGTTGGCCATCTTTTCGCTTCGCGCTGCAGTTGAAACGATCTATGTATGTGGCATGCTTTGTGCATTTTCATACACGTCATCCTATCTGTCAAAGGGAATCTGTCACGCAAAGCGAGGCAAGCGTTTTATCTGGCATCAGCTTTATAAAAACTGGCTTTGACTTTTTCATTTTTTTTTTGCGAACAACCATAGTGTGTAATTCAATACCTGCCCATTTTTTCGTTTTATTTAAATAATCAGTTAAAATATTTAGGCAATCAAAAGCCCCTAATCCAGTAAAAAGAGTTTTGAATTGGTCACGATGCGTTCGCCTCTTATCGATATATAAAAAGTGTAGGTACATCATAGCGCTCGAAAATTAATGTAATAATAAAGTAGACTACACTTTTGGAAAGAAATTTATAATATAAAGATAACTACGAAAAATAAAGCGGGAACTAACATTTTATTATTATTTTTTTTTTTTCAAATAAAATACTTTAACAAAAATCTACCAAAATTAGAAAAAAATTTACCTTTTTACCAACCCAGTTTTTTCTACCAATTTTGGTAATAATTTACCAAAGTGGCAACCCTGGTTACCACGTAAAAACTAAAGCTCTAACTAATTAGCGCATGCAAGGGGTAGGTTTTGGGGTTCAAACCCCCCTAAAGCTAATAACCTCAAATACCTTAAAGCTTAGAACCCAGCTCTCAAGAAAAATCACAAGAAATATTTTTTATAATTTCTGTTGCTTGAACAAGCACTTTGCTGTAAATTTTCTAGAAGAAATAAATAAACGAGCATTTTTTTCTTGAGAGCTGCTAAAACATTGTCCTAAAAATATGCAATCATACTCTATTAATGTTATGTTTTACACTTTACAGCCGAAAAGAGTTTACCACTGACAGGGGCGCACCCAGGAATATATTTTAGGGGGGGTTTTATATTTCTGAAGATATATCACCGGAAAATACTGAAAATTTTCTTCAGATAATACGCTCTTTAAAATATATTTATGCAAGTTTTATGTACAGTATGTAATAAATAAATAAACGTTTTAAAATTCATAAAGTGCACTTTATTTACATAAGATTAACAGAACTCAAACACTTTTAACCGACTTTAAAAAAAGGGGAGGTTATCAATTCGCCGGAATAGGTACGTAACTTTGGACCACGTGAACCGATTTCAATAATCATTTTTTTGTAGAAAGATGGTACCTCAAGGTTCGTTCCGTAATTTGGTTTAGAGATCCGATGATTGGATCATGAAGAAATTAACGGTACCCCTAAATTTGAATATAAGAATTGAAGCCCGTTGTGTTCTTTCCTTAAAAACTACTTGTTTAATAAAAAGTGCTATAAACTCAAAATGCTCTCAACTTTCAAAAGTACCTAAGAAAAAATTTTAAATAAGACTCAGTAAAAATAAATTTATTGATTCCATGAATTTTTGCACTTTTATGTTCCTTTTTTCGATTTCTGGTTTCTGGCTTTCAATAGAGATGCTGATTTTTCACGATTTCTAATTTTTTTTAATATTTCGAATACCGAAAAAATTAACTGAACTCTCAAGAAAAACCAAAAATTCATATAAAACGACGGACGAGAAATAAAAAGAAATTTTCTTCTACCAAAATTTCTTAAATCAGTTTGCAGCTCTCAAGAAAAAAATGCTCGTATATTCATTTCCTCATGAAAATTTACAGTAAAAGCAAAGCGCTTTTTCAAGCAACAGAAATTATAATAAATATTTCTTATAATTTCCTTGAGAGCTGGATTCTTAGCTTTAAGATACAGTTTGTATTTGAGGTTATTAGCTTTAGGGGGGGGTTTGAACCCCAAAACCCACCCCTTGTGTGCGCTAATGGCCACTGATATAAACTTAACAAGGATTCGAAGATTTAATTTGCCCACTTCGAATTCGTTCCACCAAAAAGAGCTACATACATAATAAAAATACAAGTTCAGTTAATTTTTTCCGTATTCGAAATAATAAAAAATTAATACTTATTTTTGTGCAAATAAAGTGCAATCTATGAAACTTTAAAAAGTTAATTTAATTATTACAAACTGTGCATACAATTTGCATAAAGCGAATTTTCAGTATTTTCTGGTGATTCGTTCGGAAAATGGTATTGATAGCATGCGCATCGTTTTCTTTCAACATTAAATTAAAAAAACAGTAACAGGGTATGGTTCTGATGTTTCAGGCCTCTGAAAAAGGCCCGAGCCCGGGGGGATTTAAATAACAATCCAAAATTAAATTTCAAATTTTCATCCGAAATTGGCCCTTACTGGTATGCTATCAAAAGTCAAAATATTCTAAATGCTCTAAACTGCCTACAATAAGTAGCTGTGGTTGGTGTTATACTAAACTGCCTAAAATATGTAGCTGTGGTTGTGGTATACTATTGCTGATGTAGCTAGCGAAATAGCTTGTGGCTGTGGTACAACCTTCTGGTTAGCCAGTTAGTCTTAATCTTAATCCTCACCTTAACCTTAATCTTGATCTGTATCGTGCCCAACCAAGCCTTCATTCCCTCTCTTCTTCTGTCAGTTTTTCGTTTCATTGGAGTTCGGAAAGAGAGCCCAACGATCGTGTCACTTCTTCGTTACATCGATGTTTGCATTTACACCCAATGGAGCGCAAAAAAGGTTGACCTTTAAGAAAAAGTTTGGCGTAGGTATGTAGGTAGACATACATATATAATAGTTTTTATTTAGTCACAATGGCAAAAAACTTCCATTCCAGAATTCTTACTTTAATCTCTTCAATCGCTGCCACATTCCTGCCCGAAACTGTATGAAATATGCTTTTCAACATGTCAGTTACCCTTAATTTTCTTCGTCTGCAATTCAAGCAAACTATGCAACCTTCGCAGCTGGCGCTTGTGGTCGTCCTATTGCACGCCAGCTGGCTTTTTTCTTACCTGTAGCCTATAGTGTCCTCCGTCTAACAAAATCCAAAATGCCTACGGAAATTCGTTACGCCACGTGACCACCAGTCGAACACAACACCACCAACCAATCGGATCACTCCGCTGTCTGCTATTTCCTTTCCACACATCAAGCGATTGGGCCGACCGCACCACCGCTGCAACCAACAGCAACGTCCGTACATTGGCCGTGACGTATACGCACCAAACCCGTTTGGCGAATCAAACGAAAACGCTCCTGCTATAGGCAAACCAATGCAGCGAATTGTATACAAACGTACAACTAAACGCAGGTACACACACGACGACGAATAATGTGACGAGTGCAAAGCCAACTTGAGAACAGTGTGATAATAAAGTAAATGCGCGGCAGTTGCAGTTAGTACGCACAAAACAATCAAAGAATAAATAAACGGACGCACGTCCCGCGCTGTATTATCAGAAACAAATGTGAGTGTAAAATGCGTGCGTGCGGCGAGACTCGAACGTAGCCATGTATGTACATACATACAGATGTAAGTTCGTATAAAGCTGAGGCCAGCGAAACCAACAACTAACTGGCCCTTTGTTAATGAATTTTGGCACATTTGTCAAATACCGCGCGATTTGAATATGTCAATGGAGCACTGCGTCGGCCGCATGTAAAAAGCCAACGTCGAGAGTGACGCGCGTGTACATACATATATACATACATAAATACGAAGTATGTTGTTTTTGTAAGACAATCCAAGCAAAAAACGCGTAACAATCTCGTTGCGGTGAATGTCGTTTGCAACTGATGTGTTTTAAAAAATGCATTTAATTCATATTACCAATACATAATTTAAAGTGGAAAAGTGTGTTGTGGCATAATTAATGCGATAAAAAAATACCTACCAGCTAATGAAGAATACATAGTTACGGTGATAACAACGGTAAAACAAATGGAAAAAATGCATGTAAACATATAGTTAAATTCGAATTGTCACACTAGTGCTAAAAGTGAAAGCTTAGAAAAATCTATCTATGTATTTAAAAGGGTGCTAGTCAGGGCCGAGCTTAACTCTAGCTTATTCGCCCGGGACGAATAGTGCATTGGCGTCCTTTTATATATATAGTATACAAAAATCCCGTGTCACTGTGTTCGTTTGCGCTAATCTCCGAAACCGCTTAACCGATTCAAATGAAACTTAGTGCGTGTGTATTGTTGGGTCCAACTTAAAAGATAAGATAGTTTTGAACCCGAGAAAAATTGCTTTTTTTTTCATCGAACTTTTCTATGCTTTTCGCAATCCCCTGTCGCTATGTTCGTTTACGCTAACCTCAAACTGCCCATATCCGAAGCGGGAGTTTTTCAAAGTTATTCGCGGCTACGCTTCTTATGTATGTTTATGTTGGGGAGAAATACGTAGGATAGCAACAAAATAATGTAGTATGTATTTATACACATAGAGCCAATTTCACAGTGCGTAGTTAACTCAGAATCAGCAGTTAATTACAGATTTTTGTACTGAAAATCTCTAGTTAACTGCCGACTCTGAGTTAACTACGCACTTTGAAATTGGCCCATAAACATGCGCAGATCAACAGCAATAAAAAATTTACCGTTTGGTCACCATCCAATGTTTTCCATTCCCCTGGCTGATGTTTGAACCGTAACCAGAGATCGTTTTTTTTTTAACAACAATAACAACAATCTTTTGTCAATTTCGATAAAAAATGAAACGTAAGAAACAATATGGGTCTTCACACCGAGCTCGGTATTCGGTTTGTGTAAAATAGTGTACGTAACCGAGTTCCCGAGTACCAAGCTTCGGTGTGAAGACCCATAATATCTACGATGCATATACCTAACCTGCCTATGTATCGGTGTGTAGCAGGACAACGTCTGCCCGGGCTTACTAGTATGATAATAAAAAATGTAATGCCTGACTGCCTTCGATATAGGTACCACTTTCGCAAAACAAATTTCCATCAATATTAGATTTAAAGTTGACCGTTAACCTATCTTGCAATACAGAACAATGTCGCAATATTTCCGTCCTTTATTTTGATTTCCGTTTATGTTAAACGAAAAATTCCACGATGCATTTTGCATCTATTGAAATTTATATATATAAACATGGTGTCCAAAAGAATACTAAAAAACTAAATTTCAACCTTTTCTTGGATAAAAATAGACTATGTAATTGGTCAAGAGAAGCGAATGCGCGCGTATCCTTTACATTCCGGCACGGCGCCCTTCAAAATCCGGGTCGCCCCACCCTAAATCCGACTGATCTTATTTATATGTATCTACATATGTATGTATGTATGTACATATATAGTAAAAATTGCATACTTATGTGCGTACATACAAATGTTGTTTAGCCAATGAAAAATAAAAAACGCATTTAAAAAAGGAGTTATCAACAAATAAACTACAGCACACACATTAAGTTGCGAGTTGTCGAATGTTCAGAATTAAAACCTTTTGAATTTTGAAAGTGATTTCCTTTATTTATCGGAGTTGTTGCCAACCGCCTTAAACCAACAACATATGTAATTGCTAAACGCTTAAACTTAACGGGAGGTAAAATAACTAAAGGAACGAGCAACCGTACTTTAACTTGGGCCAGGGACCAGCGTTGCCACAGACACATTTTTTTCCTACCAAAATTTCCTACCATACCAACCAAAACCTCCCAGAAATTCATTTAAGTTTTAAGAAAAATCTCGATGTCAAATTTATTAAAACATAGCTAACATAACATTTAGTAAAACTGAAACACAGCTAGTAAAATAAAAACATATTAACTACGTATAACGATTCATTTCACTGTACATATTATCAGACTTATCCAAATGTATCTCTCTTTACACATACATACATATCGTCATTAGATGCGCTTTAACCTCTTTGAAGGCGAAGAAGGACGCATAAACTTATGTTCGGGGTCAACTATTTATGTTTGCGAGTGTAACAGTATACGAATGCCCCAAAGAGTTTTTCCAGAATGATGTTGAATCCATTTTAACGCGTCTTTTTTCGCAAATTTTTTTCACCCGTCCTTTTTCGTCGTTAAAACACCCGAGCGTCGTTATTTGTGTCTAGTGACGATATTTTTATTATTACGTCGGAGATACTCGCGCTGCGACCTAAGAAGATATATTGTGCTAAATCCTAACTGTAACCACTCCAACCATAGGCTATTTAAGAGCTTAGCACATTGGATGATTCCTTGTTCCAAATTTTATATGGGGAAGACAATCGTTCTCCAAGGTATATCAAACTACGGTTCATGCTTCGTGGGCAGACACATAGAATATACTCTGGGATTTCCTTCATCAGCCCACAAAACCTGCAGTCCGTCTCTTCCGTCCATTTATTCAATTCAAATGGTACTTAAGTTAACGTGCAGTGCACAGTGGTTCGGATCGCAAATCTAGCTGGACGAAACTATTTAAACAAATACTCGTTGATGGATCTTTACACCACTTCTTACCTAGGGGATTTTTGAGTCGCTGATTACGAATCTGAAGTCACTTATCAAAAATTCAAAATAACGGATCCAATATGGCGGACGAAATTAAAAAAAAAAATCGGTAGATTACTATGAAACTGGGTATCTGGGGGTTTTCTGGGTCGCTGATTACATATCTAAAGTCATTTACCAAAAATTCAAAATGGCGGATCCAATATGGCGAACGAAAATTTAAAAAAATCGGTAGATTTCTATGTAACTGGGTATCTGGGGATTTTCTGGGTTGCTGATTACGAATCTAAAGTCATTTACTTAATTTACTTTGGAACGAGCATTTTCATCAGATATTTCTTTCAATTTACTAATCACATGATCACGGACACCTTGTTGTCTTTTAGAAGTTTCTGCAACACCAAATATCAAACAACTCACTTCATAAGATTTTATTAACCACGACTAAAATTTAAGATCACAGCAAGAAACACAAATAAATTTCAGAAAAAATTTTATAACAGCGCTTAAAGATTTGCATGCCTGCTGTATAATTTTTTAATTTCAGAAAGCAGAAAATTCGCGAGGTACTATTTTTTTTAACTCTTACATAACCAAAGGTTTTATAACTCCAAGTATTTTTCTGTTTTAACACACAACCCCGCCCCCCTCTCCCCCGTGGATCCGCCACTGATCTTATATTTATATTCAGATACATTCCTGCTAATTACTTTTGAATTTTGAGATTTGACATACCGTCACTAAAATGTAAATATCTAAGCCAATTGGTTAGACTTGGTTATCGAACTTACCCTCTGCATTTGCGAAGGTGTAAAGAATAATATGCAAGTGGTTTTATAACGGCCTTCGGCGGCCTTTACTTCTCCTACTCTTTAATTTATTTTTTTAATTAATCAAAACGACGATTTTTCAGAATAAATTTGCTTATACCAATGTGGACATAAATTGCGTTATGACCTCTGAATCTATAGCGGAATACGTGTAACTTTTTGTTTATAAAGTCAATTTGCAATTATGCAAATATTTGTGAGTGCAATTAGCAATCTTTTAAGTTAAATTTCAGCTTTTAAAATAGAGTTCTCAAATAGGCGGCGTTGACTTACCTTTTTTTGTTTGTTTTCATATGTTAATGCTTTAATAAATACAATTTCTATTTGAATGTATTGTCAGGAATGTATTCCAAGTACTATTAAGTATTTTAAAAACAAAAAAATTTTGACTTTCATCCAGCTAGATCTGCTATCCGAACCACTGTGCAGTGCGCTGCCAGGTAGCCCATAAGAGTTCAAGGTGTCATTCGAAGTTCCTCCTGGAAGGAGCTATGAATCTCGGGGGGGTGAAATAACACAAACGGCAATAACGCAAATTTGTGTTATTTCCCATTTAAATGTGAAATAACACAAATTTGCTTTATTTCATTTCTCGTTGAGCAATAAGACCAACTTTTATACTTAACAATTTGAGTAATAAAGCAAACTAGTGCACATATGTACGTAGTCACCCAGTTACATTTGACAAAAAGTAGTACATGAACAAGTTAAATGGACGGATTTGTAAGTATACAATTTTGAAAGTGCCCGGCGTCGCGGCGGTCCGCGTTGGCGCGACGCCCCGCGCCACCCCGCGCCGCGTTCGACGACGCGCTCGCGTCCTCCGCCCCTCCCCTCCTTTCGCAATTATGTACTGGTGGCATTATAACCGTTTAGAAAAAGGAAAAATTATAAAATAACACTAGTTCACTTCTGAAACTGCTTTTTAATGTCCAAGTAATGGGAATTATTGTGTATGGTGTTATTGCATGCTGCATCCCACCCATAGTGGAATTTACCAGGTGCCACTGCTTTATTTGAAAATTTGCCTATAAAATGTGACTATAAGGCAGCCGAATGTCAGAAAATAAAGCGAGAAATCCGTTTTATTACTTCATCTGTTTATTGCGACATGGTTCCATGCAAACATTTTAAGGTTTTCCAGCAATGTTTTTAACAACATATTAAAAAGCATGCAGAATAAATTGATACAAAAGCGCTATGTCCAATATGCGGAGCAGTTTTTAAAGACGATGCTTTTCCTATATTTTGTTAGACTTTTCATAAGTAAAAATATTTTGTGAATATTACTTTCTTCATATGAATTATATCAAATTTTTTGTTTAATTCAAGGCCTATCAAACAGGTTTAGAGCATTTGAGCAAAAACAACATTTGCCTGTATTTTGTTGTTGCTTCTGGTATCGAAGGTGCCAAAAACTGTTCTGATTTTTTTCTCCTACATCAAAGCGTGCCATGCGAAATACGAAAAAGGTAAAAAATTTAAATTGAAAAAATGAGAATTGTTGCAGCTTTCTTTCTTAGTAAATTGGTTCGCTTCTCGAAGCATTGATCCACCATCCTGTGCCAGGTCCAGTAATCAGCGGTTGTGCTGCTGAGATGGTCGAGCGTTCCAAAAGCTGCTATTTAATCGCTGGTTTTGTATGGAAAATGT